TATTAGGTTGAAATATATAAAATTGCTATTAATGTAGGTCAAAATGGTTGAATAATGGCAATTTCATATCTTTCAACCTAATAGTTCCAGAAAAAGTCCCAATGCTAAAGTTCATTGGTCCAACTTGCATTTCATAACCATTATTAAACCAGTCATTGTGGCCACTGAGATGCAGTATTTGTATTGGTCAGTCCTGAATCATATGCCCACACACAGAGCCATGTGGACAAAAAGTGAGAGAGCACTGACTTCTCATAGGAAATTTAAGGTGCTATCATCAGAAAAGGGAGAATAAAAATTGAGCAAGCAAAACACGAGATGCCCATTATGCATACAAAAAACACTCCAAGGTTGAAATTTACTGTGAATTTAATGAAGCCTAAATTTCAGGGAACCTCACTTGCATAAGCTCCTTCTAAAGCAATGTATCTCATCTTGTATTTAAATTTTTGAGTTCTTTTCCTTAAAGAGGGGCTCCCAAATTGTATAAGCTTCAAGACCAACAAAATCTGGATCTGCCCCATAAGAATACTCAAAACTATTTGTGAAATTAATAAATAAATGTTCCCAACATACTGCACCCGCTTCTGCTTTTAGCAGAAAGAAACCATCTGTTAGATAGTTTATTCACTAAGTTCTTCACAATAACTTTATCTCTTATCTTTTGACACTAACAAAAAAATAACTTGATCATGTCTTTCAGATCTCCCTAGTTTCTGGAATTCAGAATCTTAATGTATTTTTCTCTGCCTCTATCACAGACCCACCCATATAAGCGCCCCACCTCCCCCTTTTTTTTCCACTTCTCTGGACTTTATTCCCAGATGAAGCCTGCCTCCTACTATCACCTCTCATGAGAGGCCAATCCATTATGAAGTGTTCATTTCTGGGTCCCACTATGGTTCCCTACAGAACCAATTTGAAGAAACTCAGCAATTGCTCCTATTCATTCTAAACTGATGTTCTCTGATATTCTTTAAATTTTCAAATCAAAATGAATTCTCAAAACTATCACAGAGAGAACACAAAATGTAAGGTATATCTTATATTGAAGTGAATCTAGGATGTGACTCTTGTCAAAGTCACATACCTATAGGGGACCACTGATCAAAGATGTGCCAAAATCAGGTCTGGGTAACCAAAAAATGTGCCTGTCGTTGAGATTTCCAACTACACTTTACCCTTCTACTTGGCAGTCAGACAGCCTCAGGAATGTAAATTCATGCAGTTTTGAATGTGGGGGAAGGTTAGGAAACTAAGCCTGCCTGCTGCTATTCTGATTACAGCATTTGTCGCTGGCTGGGAGAGACAGCTCTGAGATTGATGCTATTTTTCTCCCTTCTCAGGAAAATGGCTTGGGCTGTGTATCAGGGAAGGCCAAGGGGCACCTACGAATGAAATTTCTGCTTAATCCCTCAGCAGGTTCCCAAGTCAGTAGTCCTTCAGATGTGGCATTGCATTTGACCTATTTATTCCATCCCCCGCCCCTGCCCCCCAGCTCCTGCCAGAAATATGGCATAGAAACAGGGCAGTGCAATTATATTGCCTTTTTTTCTTTTAATTTGTTGAAATTGTCTCTAGGCAGAAGAAGGGAGGTGGGGGTTAGAAACCAGATGGTTGTAACTGGAGTAGAAACCTACTACTGAGTAGCTTTGAGATGCTCAAATCTGGTAGAAGTGGCTATTTCCTCACAGGAAAAGGGGATGAAGCAACAGAGCCATGGAAAAAGATTTCCAGCAGACTGATCTCCAGTGTCCCATCCTCTCCAACCCATGTGCACACACATGTAAAAGGTAGCCCATTTTCCCTTGGTTCTCCAAAGCACCACCAACAATGGGTTATAGCAGACTTTTCCTGAAAGTTGGGTGGAGGGTTCAGGGGTAAGCTAGTGACAGTGAAAGGGGTTTATAACACAGGACTTAAACCATCTACAAATGAATATCATCCATCCTTCTTTAAAGCCCCTCAGTCTCTCTGTTATCTTCCTCCTCTTCATCCCAAGCATCCTCACCCCTCACAAAACCCCAGGCACCTGATGCATTTCTCTACTTCTCTCTTTAAACACATGAAGTAGAAAGAAAATTGGGGCTGGGCACAGAGCCTCATGCCTGTAATCCCAGCATTTTGGGAGGCTGAAGCAGGCAGATTACCTAGGTCAGGAGTTTGAGACCAGCCTGGCCAACATTGTGAAACACTGTCTCTACTAAAAATACAAAAGTTAACTGGGCATGGTGCACATGCCTGTGGTCCACTCAGCTCAGATCTGGTAATTCACTAGAATGACACAGCACTCAGGAAAGAGCTTTTCTTACTATTACCAGACTATTCTAAAGAATACAACTTAGGAGCAGCCAACTCAGGCATGACTGTGGAACTACTCAGAAGTCTCCACTCCAGCCTGGGAAACAGAGTGAGACTCCATAGAATGAACAAATGAGCAAAATAATGAAAGAAAGAGAGAGAGAAGGAAGAGAGAGAGGGGAAGGAAGGAAGGAAGGAAGGAAGGAAGGAAGGAAGGAAGGAAGGAAGGAAGGAAGGAAGGAAGGAAGGAAGGAAGGAAGGAAAAGAAGGGGAGGGGAGGGGAGGTAATTGAGACTGCAGGAAAGAGAAAGGGTCAGGGAGCTGACTAAGCATTAACCTGTTATCTTTTTATATTTGGGGAGATTCGGCCAGCAGAAGAGTCCTCTCAGTCTCTGGGCCATCTAAACACCTGGAGGATAGCAGCACACCAAGGTCCGGGCATAAGGGCTGATGCCTCCTTCCTCTGATCTTTGATAGGGAAAACTGACTCTCAAGCTTGTGTGAAGTTCTGGTCAGGCACAGTGGCTCACACCTGTAATCCCAGCGCTTTGGCAGGTGAAGTTATGTGGATCACTTGAGCTCAAGAGTTCAAGACCAGCCTGGGCAACATGGCAAAACTCTGTCTTTACAAAATATTAGCTGGGTGTGGTGGCATGTGCCTGTAGTCTCAACTACCTGTGAGGCCAAAGTGGGAGGATCACCTGAGCCCAGGAAGTTGAGGCTGCAGTGAGCTCTGACGGTGCCACTAAATTCCAACCTTGGTGATGGAGCGAGACCCTGACTCAGAAAAAATAATAATAATAATAATGCAGTCAAATATCCACTCAGTTATCCACCTGTTAGGTTTTTCTTTTCCTTCCCATCCAATTACATGATATCTTTTCCAACAGCACTTCTCCAACTCTCTGACTCCAATTAGGTGGCCTACAATTCATTTCTGGCACTAACTACCCAGAGTTAACATCAGATTTACAGGTTTAACGGCTCAGTCCCACGAGACCGCCCTCATCTCAGAGGCCAGTCACAAGTATGGGATCCACAGGTTACCAACTCTTCTGTCCATGTTGGCTACAAATTTAGGCGTTCCTACAACCTCCTTCTCAGATTTGGTAATTCACTAGAATGACTCACAGTGCTCAGGAAAGAGCTTTACTTACTAAAGGATACAACTCAGGAGCAGCCAACTGGAAGAGAAACATAGAGCAAGGTATGGGAAAGGGACATGGAACTTCCATGCTCCTTCCTGGTGTACCACCCTTCCAGCACCTAGATATCTTCCACAACCCAGAAGCTCCCCAGACTCTATTGTTGTTTAGGGGTTTTACAGAGGTTTCTTTGTGTAGGCATAGGCATGATTGATTAAGTAATTGGCCATTGGTGATGAACTCAGTCACTAGGTCCTCTTCTTTCCCCTGAGATTGGGGGTGAGGTTGAAAGTTGCAAGCATCTAATCAAGGCTTGGTCTTTCTGGTGACAAGATGCCTTATAATAACTCAGGCAATTTCCAAGCATTTTAGGAATTCTGCACCAGGAACTGGGGACAAAGACCAAATAACTCTCTTATTATAGTACCCCATTATGTTTACTTGTCTTGTTAAAAAAAATGTAGAGTCACCCTCCTTAGGATATTAAGCTTCCTGGCTATTTCTGGCTTTCTCTTTCTATGTACTCTCCATATCCCTTTAACAGACTGACCAGGAACTTCTGATCTGTTCTCATTAGGATTACTAATACATAACTAGCTTTCCTGTGGCAGACCCCTTTCTCTCTCTCTCCAAACAAATCATTCAAGAGAACAAGCATCCCTAGAGCCTTAGAGTTGAATGCCTACAACACTAGCTCTTCCTCCCAGAAGAACCTTAGGAAGATGCCAGTGGGAAGGGTGAACTTAAATGGCTGAGGGCCTCACCCCCACTCCTTTTCACACAGGCATCATCCCCACTTTTCTAGGCCACTTCTGTTGGCCTCTGGGTTACTGAGAAGAAGGTCATTTTGAGTGTCCAGGGAGATCTCTTGGCTCTTATTTGTTCAAGTCTCCGGAAGGGAACTCTAGGAGCCGGGTCCTGAAACCCTGGCATGCAAGACTAAGAACTTTACTAGCTGAAATGGGATGGGGATGAGGCCCAATCTGAGCGAATGCCTCTGTGCATTCTGCCTCACTGGCTCCTCCTTCCCCCTCCATGAACAAAGACAAAATAAAAACAAAACAACTCAGGGAAACAAAGCTTTCCTTTTAGGTTATCAAGAGGTCTTCCGTTTGGAGCAAAACCGCACCCCCTCCTGTGGCCCCAGTCTCAGTCTCAGATGGTGAGGGCCTCAAGCCCATACTGGCTTATTTGAAATCCATGTTTAGGTCCCAGCATGTGGCATGTGCTCCACTCTGATGACACTTTTCGTTTCTAATAATAGAGCAGATGAAGTAATATTGCAATTGATGTTCCCGGGGATTTGATTGGATAAGTGCATAAAGTGTGGAGGGGGAAGGGGGTTGCATGGACAGATCACATTAGTATTCCCGTCCTATCAATGTGCGGGCCCGCGAACAACGTCAGCCGGACCGATTCTCTGCGTCTGCCAGTCCCGCCACAGATTCATCTGGGATCTTCAAACAGACGAGCCCTTAGAGACGAGGGATCAAGGCAGCCGATTAGAACCAATTGCTTGCTTTGGGGACAGCCAGTCCTTCCAGGCCTGGCGACAGTGGAGGGAGGGGAAAGACAACCGAGTGCCGCTGCGGGAAGACACTGAAGCAAGAGCGACACCCCTTTCCGCCCCCCACCTTGCAGCGCAGGCTTTGAAAGCTGCTCCCCCACCTGAATGGAAACTCGGAACCGCCGGGCGGCGCGTTCCTTCTCGCCCAGCCTTGCAATCCATGCCGAGAGGAAGGCAGTGCGAGCCCGCGCCAGCGCCCAGCTCCCGGGACAGGGTCGGCAATGCTGCTGAGCAGAACTTGATCGCGCCCCTTCCTCGCTGCTAGTGGAAGCGATGCTGCACGGCACAGCCAGCGCTTCCTCGGCTCTCCTTCAAGCTGAAGGTTACCGACCCGTGCAGCCAGCCCCAGCACTGTGAGCTGCGCGCCTCAGGTCCAGGCTCCGGCTGCTCGGCGGCGGCGCCCAGGGCAACAACCGGGCCGCCCGCGCCGGGGCGCACTGCACCAGCGGCTTCGGCTTGGTGGATGTGTATGCATGAGTTCTGCACCGAATGGGCGCAAAAAGCGCCCCAGCCGGTCCACCCGCTCCTCGATCTTCCAGATCAGCAAGCCCCCGCTGCAGAGCGGAGATTGGGAGCGCAGGGGCAGCGGCTCCGAGAGCGCCCACAAAACCCAACGAGCCCTGGACGACTGCAAGATGGTGGGTGAAAACTGCGCCTCTTTTTTTTTTTTTAATTGAGAGGGGGTGGGGGGAGTCATGTATGTTAATCATTTGCCTCAGTGCCAGCCACTCCCCCACCCTCAGCGCCTCAATGCCGATCACGTGGCACACGCACTATTTTTAAATCTGCAGTCCCCCAAATTCAGGGTGACACCCCGGTCGTAATGGCCCTGCAGAGAGAAGTGTCACAGCAAGGGTCTTTTGGATCAGCGACTGTAGGTTGTGCCTCTACCCCCTCGAAGAATGGTGGATGCGAAAGACACAGTGAACTGGCTCGCTCACCGGGGAGGGAGAGATGAGGAGGTGGGGATGCTGCTTTCTGGGGAGAGAGTAGCAAACAAACCCAAATACAGCGCACGGGGCGCTACCGAGGGGTCGAAGGTTCCAGCGCAGAGGCTGTAGCTGGTCTTCCAGTCAGGCCGTCAGGCCGAGAGGTTCAGTGGCCCAGCAAGAGGTGAATGGTTTGCCTATTACACCCTACCTGTGGCCTCCCCCGCCCCTCCCGCCATGCAACTTAAAAGCCATGTCCTAGCAGTAGCAGAGGGGAGCGTCTACGTAGGACTCCCCAGCGTCATTCTCTGTCGGCCTGGGAGTGGCATGGTAGCCCTCCAAATATGCTTTCTTGCTCTTCAGAAACTGAGTCTGAAAGGGAGAGGGGAAGTAGGTCTGGAATTAGAGCTTCCATGGCCAGGCTTGCCTATGAAAATAAACACTTGCCTTGGACAAAGAGACTTGCCATTTTGGTGCTTCTGCTTTAAACCATTCCTAGGTTCTTTAGCTGGAGATCTGGGGAGCCGACTGAGGGGTCAGTGAAGGCCCCTGTTTATGTACTCCAAAATAGGAAACTTTCTGATGAGAAATGTTTGGTTAAAAAAACAAAACAAAACAAAACAAAACTCACTTCTTTTCCAGCTTGTCCAAGAGTTCAACACACAAGTGGCCCTGTACCGAGAGCTGGTCATTTCTATTGGGGATGTCTCGGTCAGCTGCCCCTCACTCCGGGCGGAAATGCACAAGACAAGAACCAAAGGCTGTGAAATGGCCCGTCAGGCACACCAAAAATTGGCTGCCATCTCAGGGTAGGAGACTCGGCATTATTTGGTAATTCTTATACATGATGCATGGATGCTGACAGAATTTTATGGTAGCCAAGGCCTCAGAGATGATCTCCACATATTTGAGATTTTAATCTTGAGATCGAAATTCTCTTAGAGAGCTATACACAAACTATAGGCCAAACCACAATTTGAAGGCTATGTCATTCTTGTATATATGTATATATATTTAGAAGATTTGGATCAAGTGATTTTTTTAAAACTTAATTTTCAATACTCTGGCCACATACTGGAATTTGGAGCATAAGATTTGGGGTGGATGGTTGGGCATCAAATTGAAGTTAAATCATCATGCCTCAAAATTATTTTGTCATCTGCTGCTGAACAAAAGGCCTGTGCTATAGAGAAAAATCTTTCCCAAATCCCAGATTTACTAAACTATTTATACCATGAGATAAATTCCTATGATACCGCCTAAAATAAAATCCCTAAAATAAGGTCTTAGATATAAATTACTCTTCACTGTGGTGATCTGAAGGGGTAAGTTTTAGCATAAGAACAGTTTTTAAAGATTGGGGACATTCACAATCTCAGTAAAACTAAGATGACTTTGTCCCCCAAATTTTTATTTATTTTCATCAGATTTATGTTTTTTCAAGCCTGTATTAGGAGATAATTCGGTATGTGAAAACTTCTGTCTTTGGATCCTACCTACTCCTTCTTTCATCTCTTAATATTGGGAAAAAAGTTAGCCATGGATTTTGTTAACAGTTTCTATTTTCAAGATAAGTACTTAGAGCAAGGAAACACAGGAATCCTTATACAAATGCATTGATACATTAAGTGTTTGGTTCAAACTGGATATAGCATTTATCTGTTTATCTATGTGAGTATATCTTTATCACAGCAGGAGTTCAAATTGGTCAGACTCACCTGATAATGTTACAAATTGATCACTTGTAGGAATTATATCTAATTTACTTATTTGAAAGAATCACTGTTTGCCATCTTTAATTCCAATAATATATATAGTGACTAATACTAGTTTATAAAGACTGGAAAGCCATATATTGCCTCTCTTAATAATTAGTTCACATTTGACCACAGGCATTTTATATCATGAAAAATGATATGCTGTACTCATCTCCTTGAAGAAAGGGATAAACAAAATATGCTATAACCCTATCTTATTTAGTAAAAATATTGAGAAGCCTTATCCTTTTCTGTTTTAACTCTTACACTATTCTTAACGAGAAGTAAATCTGGGTAATGGAAGGGAATTAAGTGGTTCGGGAGTTTGGGGAAGAAATGCAGCTGTGATCAGTCCCAGACAAGGAGAGAGAGAGAAAAAAAATCAGAAATGTGAAGGAGCACTGTTAAATTTAAAGGCACAGATAAACAATAATTCCAAAGGAAAAGCAGATTTAGGACAGGAAATTTTCTCTCAGGGCTAAGGAGTAGCAACTCTGTAAACTTTGTGTCCTAGATTACAGGATTGGATTGCATTTAGGATCCCTTTGAATTGGAACTCAAAATGAGAACATGTTCTAATCAGAGAAGGTGGGCTGGAGGAATGAACAAGGAGTTCGATTCAGTCTATTTTGCTACACACACGAAATTCAGAGTTTTCTAAAGGTTCAGGAAAGAAAAGGTCCGAAACTATTGGCTAAAAGTTGAGTTTGGAGGATTTCAGATGGATTTTTTTTTCTTTCAGAGGTATTCTAGTTATGTTACCCCAGCTGGTCTTAAACTCCTGCACTCAATCCTCCTGCCTTAGCCTCCAGAGTAGCTGGGACTACAAGAATGCACCATGGCACCTGGCATGAGGTGGATTTTATTTACTCTGGTGTTTTTAGCTCTTTGCTACTTGCTTGCATGTTATCTGAGTGTTGATGTTAATGGGTGCAGTTTTATAAGAATTCATGGTAAAATAAGGTTCTTAGAGCCTTGCCAAAGGAAAACCAACTCCATAAAATATTCTAGGATAGAATTTGACACATTTCCCCCCTTACAATAATAATTAAATGCAATTTGACATTCGTTATAAAAGATGACAGCAATATAATTGAAGGAAATCCCTTTAGTTCCTCACCATCTGGGCTCCATTAATGAAGGATGTGATTCCCTTTGGCGGAATTCCGTTTCTGATATCACTTGTTATGTGGGTTCTTGTTTCAAGCTTGATGTGAAGGCTGGTAGGGAGGCTGTAGGAGTCACTTTAAAGTTTGAAGCAGGGATGAGAAAAGCAAAGGTTTTTGGTGAAATTTAGAGAGAAGAACTGGATTTCTTGAGCGCCCACTATTTGTCATCACAACCCAGCTATTCCCTTTCAGCTGAGGGAGGGATTATTATTCTTATTCTACAAATAGGTCTAGAGAGATTGAGGAACTTGCTCAAAGTCACACAGTTAAGAAGTGACACAGCTCTGATTCTGCCCCATGTTTGCATGCTTCTGATATTCATGCTTTTTCCTCTATATAATGCTGCCATTCAAAAAGGTGCTATGTATAAAGGATACACGATAAAATATAAATGAATCTTAAAAAGAGTATGCTAACTGAAAAAGCCAGCCACAAAATACCACATATCATGTGATTCCATTCATGTGAAATGCCCAGGAAAAGCAAATCTATAGAGACAGAAAGTAGATTAGTGGTTACCTAGAACTGGAGGCGAGAGCAGGTAGAGACTACAGATGTGCTCGAGGAATCTTTTTGGGATGATGGAAATGTTCCAGAATTGGACTATGGTGATGGTTGTACAATACCGTATATTTACTAAAAGTCATTGAATTGTAACTAATAACGAGTGAATTTTATGGCATACAAAGTATACCCCAATAATTGTTTTTTAGAAAGGTATTATCATCATCACCATCATTAACACTTGTTGTTTTTTATTTTGTCAACTTTATTATTTTCTACATACGTAGCTTTTAATGAAGGGGTATGAGCTATAGGGTGGAGGAAAAGTAACACTTGGCTCCCCACGCATTCCTCAAGACACCTGCCTCATGGCTATTGTTTAAGCACCAATGCTTTGCTCTGTGTAGGAATACAAGTGCGGGAAAGGCAGGACTTGAAGGAGTAAGTGAATTTATTCATTTTCTACCAATACAGACCCCCACTTCCTGGTCTGCCAGCTGGCTTTGGGGCCACAGGAGGTAGACAGGATTGAAGGTGGACAGGGTAAAAAGAAGATGAGGCAAGATAGAGAAGAAGAGGAAAAACAAGGAGTTAGCATTAAACAAGCCACTAATGCTATATACCTTTCATCCCTGACCAACTGAAACCCTCAAGGAACGGTGGAGCTCACAGCAGAAGAAAACTCAGACTACGTTTTTTCTAACTGGCCCTGTATAAGAAGGCCATCTTCACAAATACAATCAACACAGTTTCTCAAATTGTGTTTAGATCAGCAGAGTTCAGACACAGCCTTTTCTTTCAAAGGCATCAGATATCTGCATTCTTGACAGAATTAGCCAGGTGAATACAAAGTCTCCTCTGACTGTCTTGATTTACTAAAGTTATGGTATCCTTACAACTCTGACCCTCTCCCAGACATTAAAGCTAAGAGGGGCCTTAAAGATCACTTGCAAGAATGGGCCTCAAACTTTTTTAGCAGCAAATCCTCCCTTCAATCTAAATGTAGAAAGCCACATTTATAAAGACAGTCATAGTGGCATTACTCTGCACTGCTTGGGGTGTGTGTGTGTGTCCATGTGCATATCAGGAGTAGGCCAGGTCCTGCCTTTTGGACTTCCTACCCAAAGTGACTTCTAGACACTTCATAGAATCCCTAGGGCTCCATGGCACTTTATATTTGAGAAGTCTAAGATTCAGAGGATTTAAGTGACTTTTGAGGCAACTTGACAAAGAATACGTGAAGACTTTGAAGTCAGGCAGACTTGGACTGAGTATCATCTTTTATGACCTTGATGGAATGCTTAACTCTCTGAGCCACAATTCCTTCATCTGTAAACTAGTGTCATGCCCGCTCGTGGGGTACTTGAGAGAGTTAACTGAGCTAGGTATGTGAAGCAGGGACCACATGTCCAGCCTGTCAATGGCACTGCCAGTCAGAGGCTGCTCTAAGTACCTGTTGCATCAACCACACCTGAGAATGAGGAGAGATGAGCATAGCATACAAGGTACGAGTGGCCCCAGGAGCCAACATCCTTCAGCACACCTCGGGAGTTACTGCTATGGCTGGGGCACTGGTGGTCAGGATTCTCTTTGTGCTGCTGTACTTCTGCGGTGTCTGTGTTGGACTGAATCTTTCTCACACTGCTGCTTTTGATTAATGGTTCTCAAGAGAATCTAAATGTAGAAGGATTTACTCCAGATCTTAAGTTTAAGTATGACAATATGAGAGACAGTAGAGTGTGATGGGAAAGAGCACTGATTCTAAGTCAGATTAGACAAGGCTTTACCACTTGCTAAGGACATGTGTGAATTTGTATGCAGATTGATTCACAGAGTGGTTAGTGGTAGTCTGGTACCATGGTTAAGTACATAGACTTTGGGGCCAGACTCGCAGTCTGGCTGTGCTGCTAGTCACACGTAGTATGAAGTCAGGCAAAGATATTGTCTCTCCCTCTCTGCTTCAGTTTCCTCAACAGCAAAATGCAGTTAATGAATAATGGGACCAGAGTATGTGGCATTGCGAGGATCAAGTAGTTAGGAGACTGCAAGTATATAGTAAATGCTATTAAGTGCAAGTTAGTGGTAATATAATAAGACATTTAAAATTTCAGATTGTCGAGATACATTTATATCAAAAGTGTTAATCCATCAAATATTTTCCAAATGAATACTTTGGCTGGAGTAAATCTTTGCTTACCTTGGTTTCTTATATTATATTCTGAGACATTTTCTAGGTTGAAGTTTCCCAGATGGCTATCAAAAAGCCTGTTCTGGGATACCATAACAATTATATGGAGATGTTAAGATTCAAAAGTAGTTAAGTTTAGAAATTTTTTATATAAATCGGCCTAGATTCTTCATATATCAAATAATATTTAC